TAATAATGAAGTTTGTTTTTATCTTTATAGTTTTTTCATTGAATTAAATAATCATAAGAACGACTCAAACTTTTGTTTACATGCATATTTTAGTGTGTTCGGAAAGTAATTACGTATTATATGAATTATGAGTTAGTCAACTAAAAGCAAAACAATGGCTAAATTGTATGAAATTAGTTCATCATCTCTTTTATCCTACAGTGTGTTGTTTATAATGCATTTCAGAGTTTAATTGGAAAAGAATTGCAAAGAAGTAATTTGGGTTTCTCAAGTCCTTTCATTTGAGAAGCGAACATCACATTCACCACATCTTCAGCAGTTTTTTAATCATGAATGCCAACCTTTTATTTTTGCTTCACATTGTTAAAGGTGATGAAAAATGGGTTTTTCATGTCAAAAGAAAACAAAAAGAAAACAGTGGTTATCACAAAATGAGAAACCAATGTCAATACAAACGTCTTTGATTTGTGTCCAGTAGAATATGAAAATGTGATCCAATACGAATGGTTTGGAACATGGAAGGTCATCACTGCATACGTTTATTTGCAGATATTTAATCGGGTAAATAACTTAATCAGTATATCGAAAGTGCCTTGATTTGGAAAACAGAAATGACAATAGAAGGGTACACTCTATAAAACAACTCCAAGAAAAATAAGATCGTTAGGATCGGAGATTTCTTCCACATTCTTCATTCTATGTATAGTATTGATTTAGTACCAACAGATTTTTATTTGTTTCAATCACTCGAATATTCCATAAATGGCAGAATATTCAGAAACAAAGATGACCAAAATGACTTTTCAAACATTTTTCTAAACCATTTCTCTTTAAAAATTGAATGAAAAATACCTCTTCCTATTAGAATTAAGTCGTTGAAAAGTGAAGGGGCTTATATTTCGATGAAATCGAAATTTATAATTAAATTTATGTTACAGTTGTTTTTATAATTTTTCTGGCAAGACTTAATTACTTTCTGAACGCACTAATATTTTAAATCCAACCTTCAGACTTTGCAGATGTTACAAATGCAAGTTTCACCTTCTAACAGTATGTAAGCAATGCAGTTTTTTTTTTAGAAGGAATCTCTGTAAGCCGAGATGAAGAGAAATAAATGTTTCTGTTGTCTGAATCCAAATCTTAAAAGCTCTTTATGTGACAATATTTTCTTTTCTCTTTCTTTTTGAAATAAAAAAAACAATATTTTTTTTAATTGATATCCAAACCCTATTTTCAATTCAATAATATTAAGCAAATTTTTTGACAAAACTAGAAACAACTTTTTTTGTCACCGTGGCTTGAAGAGAACCCAAAGTTAAAATGAAGCGGACCATTTAGATGAAGCATAAGTCCCCTAACAAAATTTGATAGATAATTTTTCACTCATCTCAAAATAAATGAATTCAACTTATCCATTAATTATCAGTATAATAAAGATAATTTTGAGATACACAACTAGTTAAGTTGTTCCAATTTAAAGCTTATTAAATGGAGAACTTTTGGAAACCAAAAGAGAATGTTCTGATTGGTCCACTATTTGTTCCTCTTTGTCACGTGATATCGTGTTTTTTTTTATACTACCTCCGCGCGTGAAACCGATTTTGAAATTTACAAAGTCGAACGCACGAGCATTACTTCTTTGAAGGTAACTTCGTGTGTGTGTGTGTGTGTGTAGTCCATGGGCTCTTAGCAGCCATACAACTAAGGAACTAGGAAATAAACTTTAAGAAAATCGCTTTTGATACACTAAAGTTTAACTTGGTACTAATCTATAAGCTGAATGCAGTGCTTATTGCCCTGAATCGGCCACTTATCTTAAAAATAATCTTTTTATACTAAATTAAGCTTAGTATAGCACAAAGGTATCCGGTGTTTATATTTTTGTCTCAAGCAGTCAATTCATCTAAGTTCGATGTTACATTCATCTGACGAGAACGGCGCTTTCAGAATTATTTGATCGTATGCCTGAAGAAAAATTTCCCGGTTTTTTAAAAACTGTTTTGTATTGCTAAATTTATATATTTAGTGTCTTTTTATGTAATTTCTATAACCTTTTTACAGACAAGCACCAATATGTTTATAAGATATATGAATAGAGTTAATAAATTATTGCAAAAAAAAGAACAAAGAAAAGAAAAAAAGAATTTAAACGAAACCAAACAAATTTCTGCTTCGTTTAATGTCTGAGAGAAACCTTCATATATTAGATAAGATTTTTTTTTAATCCCACTCATTTTGCTTCCAGCTAACGAACGAGGTCTCCAATCTTTCGCAGTTCAACTCTTCCGGCGGCCATTGTTATCTGATATTCAAATGAGGGGAAAAAATGTAAGACAACATGATCACCAGCAGCTGTTGAAGAAAATGAACTGAGACACTCCTCACGGAGAACACTGTCAAAAATGAAGGAATGCTAAGAGGAAAAAGAAAAAGTGATCAGTTTGTGACGAGTTTGAAAAGCTTGTTTTCCAAAGAGGTTTATTGATTTTTGATAGGCTTTGGAAGTCTAAATCACCTCTTTGCGGCTAAACAGAGAACGGGTGGACACAAAGCTGAAGAAGAATTTCTGTGAGAAACAGACATAAGGTCGGTGAGAAGAAGGAGAAGAAGAAG